AAATTTCCCTCTTCTTTCTCTTCCCAAAAACTTGAATACACCAAAATTTCTCTCTTCTTTTTAAAAACATCAAATTACCAAATACATTACTTTACTTTATATTTAAATGATAATTTTATTGAATAGTTAAATTAACCAAAATTTTAATTTATATACTATATTAATATTGTCATGATCTCAAGTGATCTTCATGTTTCAATTTTTGTAATTTTCTTAAAATACGTAATATCAAGTGAGTTTCATATTTTTTAAATTTTCTATACGAAATGAAAAAATAATTTTACTTAAGTTTAGAATGAAAAACTTTATTTTGAAAAACTGTGTATTGTATATTTTTATAATTATTCAAGTGGATTAGCTGAAATTCGGGTTGACTCGGTCGGGTTACGGGTTAGTCAGGTTCGGGTCAATCGGGTTGCGGGTCAATCGGGTTCGGGTTAATCGGGTTGCGGGTCAGTCGGGTTGCGGGTTAGTTGGGTTGCAGGTCAATCGGGTTGCGGCTCGGGCGGGTTACGGGTTGTTGACTTTTAGTCAATTCGGGTTGCGGGTCGGGTTTATCGAGCGTGTTAATCGGGTCGGGCTATGTTTTGACACCTATACTCACAACCCCTATAGGGGATGTGACCGTATCCCAACCCGTTTTAGCTGTTGTTGTGGAAATGGGTTTCAGCACCACAGTTCAATCCATAAAAAAGTCAACTTGTAGCTTCGGATGCGTTCATATAATCCAGAAAAAAGTCAACTTGTAGCTTCGGATGCGTTTAATATGAATTTTCTATCGATTGGGGGATGATTTCATTAATCCCGCTCCCAGTTCGAGTCCTATCTCCTACAACAACAAAAAAATAATACTAAACTCACTTATCATTGTGCGTTTTTTTTCTATTGTCAACTAAAAGAATACAAAAATCGAGGAGAAATGAGATGTTCAATATAGTAGTAGTTGTTGTTGTTGTGAAAATGGGCTTCAACAACGCTGTCCAATCTACTGAACCGTAAATTTGTAGCTTCGAATACATTTAATGGGGGGTTTTGTATTATTTCTTAGACTGATTTCATTAAACTCGCAATCAATTCGAGTAGTATACTCCCCAATAGCAACAAAATGATACTAAATGAGGTTTTAGTCAAGTTTAGCTCAAAAAGACTTGGATTCGAAATGAAATGAACCTAAATCAAACCAAAGTTGAACAAGAACAAAGCTCAGAGTTTCACCCGAGCTCAGCTGGTCCTTTCATCAATTTGTCTTGGCCAACAACTAAACTAACCCTGCAAGTTATATCCCAAAACAGAGCAACAAAAAAAGAGTATACACAAAGGTGGAAACTTCCGGACAGAATTGAAATCGCAGAACCGGAAAGACACGCAAACTTTACATGGTTTTAGTTTTGAAAGTAGAAATCTCAACACCGACTATTCATGGTTGAAAAAGCAAAATTTTGTGATTCTCAATGATCTACTTAGGACACTACTTGAAGCTCGTTGAGTACAGATTAACACCCAATTAATCTCCCAGACCATTCGAACATGTCCAACTACCCCTTTGATCAACTCCTCATTGATCAATAACCCATCATTTTACCAATACTAAAATCAAACTATCTCCCTGATGGCTTCATCCCTTTTCCTAGCAATTACCCACAACAAATACCCTTTGCTCTTTTTGAACTGTTGATTTCTCATAAAAGTTACTTCTCTTCTTGGCTTACACCAAAAAGTTAGTCGTGTTATAATGTATTTTGTGCATAAATGATTTATCGTTATGTATGTGTTTAAATTACTTTGAATTAGTTCATACTGACCAGGGAATGACCCTATTGTCATTACCAAAACATTTAGAAATTGGGTTAATTGCATGGTTGGTCACTGAGATTATAAAAAACGTTCAAGTTTGGTTACTAGAAATATTTAAATCCATTGGTGATACTTCAGTTTACTGAAATTGTTCATGTTTGGTCACTCTCCGTCCAACTCCGTTAAGTTTGGCTGACGTGGCCGTCAACTCTCAAAGTTGACTGTTAACTTAGTGACGTGGCAATTAAAAAATAATAAATGAAATTTTATTTTATTTTTTACAATTTCCAACTCATTTTCACAATAAAATAAAATAAATAAAACAGAAAATTATAATTAGAGATTTAATCCTTCTCCTGCTGGAGAATCGCTCCCGGAAGAGCACAAAATGATGGCCGCCGCTTCACTTTCTCTCCTCTTCCACTCCCATTCCCCGGCCACCAGAGTTGTCATACCCAACAGGGGAGTGATCAATTTGCTTCCCTCCTTCTGGAATACACCGCCTGCCCCATCCACCATCATTCACCCTTGATCTGGTAACTTTGTTCTACCCTCCTTATCTTTCCTCCATTGAGGACAATGTCGTGCTTAAGTGTGGGGGGATGTTCGATTATGTATGCGGGTGAATGTTTGGCTGTTTGTGTGCTTGGAGCCTAGTCCACTGTCCAAATTTTTAAATTTGAGGGCTCCAAGTACGTGTTTCCATGCAAATTGTCTGCTCGGTATGCTTTGAATTGACAGTCTCTATAGTATTGTGCAACCTAGGGAGGTAGTGTAGCACTATGGAGGATGTTGAAGTATAAGATTTTTCCTATCTAGCTCTCTGATGTGCCAGTTGATTTTGTGAATTAGTGGAGCTAAGACCATTGAATTCATGTGGTAATGGTGACTCTGTTTGGATGGTGTTGTGGACACGTGTATCGAACAGGGTGCTCATGTGGAAAAAGGAAAGCAGTTGGTCCTCCATGTCGAAATCATCAAAATCCTAAACATGGGGTAAGCCCAACGTGTGTGGCACCGTTCATTGCACAAAATCGGGTTTTGGAGGAGATTTTAGTGATCCTTAGTGGGGTACTCCTACAAGGTGAAGCTAAGCTGTCTCTAGTACAAGTAAAACTCCCACCCGTTGAACGGTTTGCCTACTCGGGGATGTGTTTTTAAGGGCACGGATAGAGCTTCCGACCCCCCCCCCCTTAATTTCATTGACCCTCCACACGAGTTGAGGAAAAGGAGTTAAAAGAAGTACATTGGCGAGCACCAGGTGTACAGAAATTGCTCTTGCTCGACTAATAAGGGTCGACCGTGCGAAAGACTGCAGTTGGAACTCCCGCCAAGTGAATGAAAAAAAAAGAGAAAAAGAAATAAAATGAAAGTGAAAAAGGGGTTCCAACGGTGAAATGAAGTGAAAGAGAACCCCGGTACAACGAGACTTTGGTTGTGAATTGTATGAGTCCCTTTATCCATGAACTGACTGTCTTACTTCCACTGCTTCTCATGATCCTGGCTTGAGTCTAGTACTCGCATTGAGAGAGATAGGGAACATCTTAGATGACCAGTTGACCTCGTAAGCTGCTATATGATCTAGAAAATCCTCTACCGATGATCTGGGTTGTTTGTTGCTATAGAGGTCTGGAGAGCTGCATTGGTTTGAGTTAGTTTTGCTTGGGGACAAGCAAACGGTTAAGTGTGGGGGGATTTGATGACACGATATTAGCACATGCTTTACCCTTTGTTTCTTGATCATTTAAGTTTGCATTATCGCTTCTTTGGCCTATTTTACGCTAGGTTGTGTTCCTTTGTCACATTTCAGGTCCTAGCACATAAAGTGAAGCGTAGCCGCAAGTTTCAAGTCAATCAGAGATCAATTGGCGACTCGGGGGGAGAAACTCGGGTATGACTTGAAGAAGAATGGATTTCTACCTCCTTTTGTGACCATATAATCATGTAATCTTGTCATGAGAAGATAGAGGACGAGACTACGAGCGTCTGGGATCAAACGACACCTGATTTGGAGTCCGAACGAGGGAGAAACGAAGAATCAAAGATAGGGGACCCGGAACTGCATAATACCCTACTGGGTATTTTTGGCCATCTGATAGGGGATTTTTGGCAGCATCAGAAGGCCCCCCGGTCTTGAACCAAAATTACCCGACCGGTACTAAAAATACCCGACCGGGTATTTTCCCTTTTGCCCAGAATAGTGACCCGGAGCATTTTGTTGATACCCGACCGGTTCCCTAAATACCTGACCGGGTATTCTGACCGGGGATCGCGAACGCAGGTTGTTAAAAGCCTGTTTTGTGCGTTTTTGCAAGGGGGAGTTGGGTTTTGGATCCCAAACACCCAAGGGACGAACCATAGAAAGAGAGGGCGATTTGAGGGCATTCTAAGAGTGGAATTGGAGGATTTCTTCGCCTTGGAAGCTCGAGGAACAAGCCCGGACTTGAAGACTGATCATCTGAAGATTCTTATTGCAGTCTCTCTCTTCTCTATGGAGTAACTTCCCTTCACTTAGGTTTTGAGGAACCCTAGCTATGTTTGTTTGATTGGATGATTGTATGAGTACTCTTACTTGATAATCTTGAGTTCATATTCAATCTATGCATGTTTTCATGATTCAATTCTGCTTTAGTCGAGATTATTGATTATGCTTTGATCCTATGAGAGCGAATACCTGATTAGGTCAATAGAGCACCATAAATTGATAGTAGTGGATCGATTGCTTTAGTCGAGGGTTGATTCACTGCTTTGTATCGATTGAGAACCTCATTCGATAGAGGGAGTCTAGTTCAGAACGCCTTCATCGGTTGTTCTAGAGAAGGATACGTCCCTCTAGGCAATTGACTCAAGAGGGCCTTGTTCCTTTAGTCGAGACTCAAGGTCTAGCCAAGGATTCTCCGCATTGTGAATGAAAGTGAAACAAGTTAGAGATCATCAATCGTTAATCTGGCTAGTGACTCGGGGGAATCATACCTAAGTGAGTTCCCAACCTGTAATTAGATTAACTTTAACTGTAGTTTGCTAGAGTAGTTTTAGTTCTTTCATCTTAAGCTGGTTTGCTAGATAATGAACTGAAGCTGAGTAATAGTAACTCTAGAGACTCGTGGATTCGATATTTATTACTTGAGCCACTATACTGCAGTCCCTTTCATTGGTTAAACTTGGCCATTGTTAGGTGTTGTGTCATAGCGAGTCAGAAATCAGAAATGGGAGTCCCCGACGAGCCTTTGATGATGGTGACACCCGAATTCGACCTGATCTCGCTTGGATTGGTGGATGCCGATAAGATCCCCAAGTACGAGCTGACCGTGGAGGACGGGAGGCGGCTGGCGAAGGAGTACAACAGGGTTTTGATGAGGAAGCACAAGGCGAGGCAGGCCGCGGAGACGAATCTGTTGAGGATGAAGAAGGAGGCGATCGAAGCATTGCTGGAGAAGTTGAAGCAGGCTGCTCTGGTACCAGACTTGACGTCATTTCCTAAAGAGAGATTCATAGCGACATTGACACCTCCGATTGAGGGTTATATCGACAAGGTGAAGGAGGCTGCTATGAGGAGTTCTGGTGCCCAGAAGATTAGATAGAGCATTGTTTTCTTCCCAACTCCCAAGGTGTGGCATGGTATTTTTCACCATTTCCTTTCCTCTTTTGTTGCCTGTAGTTTCCTGCGTTAAATTCTTGGCTGCATTTTGGTGATTGATAGATTCAAAGAGAATCGACCTTGTAGTATACTGGCTAGTCAGATAATGGATTGATGTGGCTTTGTTGCTTTACTACTTGAGAGTTACAGAAACGTCACTTGTCAATAACATTCCATGTCGACATGCTTGAGCCAGGGTGCTTTGGCTAAGGATCGATAGTTTTTCACAGTTAGGTGATTGATAGATTCAAAGGGATTCGGCATGTAGTATTCTGGCTATTCAGATTATGGATTGATGTGGCTTTGCTGCTTTACTACTTGAGAGTCACAGAAACATCAATTGCCAAAGTGACAGAGCACCTTTCCGAGCATCGGCGGTTGCAGAACCTTTGCCTTCTCTTTTGCTTCCTTCTAATCGCGGCCTCTTTTCGCTGCTCTTCTGTTGTTGCAGCACCTCAGCTTCAGCGACAGCAAACCTTCTATCCAACGCGTCCATTGCACACTTTCTTGGATCCTCGGCGGCCATTCTATCAAAACCATGAACGCGCAGTGAGAATGATTGGTTCTTCACTGGTTCGTCGGAGAAGAAACACAAGAAAAAAAAGGAAGACAGAGTAATACCTTGCAAGTGGAAATCAATCGATGAAGAAACTCGTAAGGCGAATCGTCGTTCTATTCAGCCGAGTGAAAAGTCCGTCGACGGCTGGCTGTTTGAAGCTCGATTTTGTGGAGAAGTAGAGTAGGTGTGACCGTGCATCCTCCAGCCGCGCGCAGAGAAGAGCGAAAGAGTTGTAGATGTGGCGGCGGGCTTGGACGCGGAGTCGGAGGCGGGGATGGTGTTGTGGTGGAGGATAATGGAAATTAGAAGGAGGGGAAGCAAATTGATCTCTCTCCCTATTGGGTATGATAGCTCCGGTGGCCAGGGAATGAGAGTGGAAGAGGAGAGAAAGTGAAGCGGCGGCCATCATTTTGTCCGCTTCCGGGAGCGATTCTCCAGCATGAGAAGGATTAAATCTCTAATTATAATTTTTCTGTTTTATTTATTTTATTGTGAAAATGAGTTGGAAATTGTAAAAGATTAAATTTTATTTTATTTATTATTTTTTAATTGTCACGTCACTAAGTTAACGGACAACTTTGATAGTTGACTGCCACGTCAGCCAAACTTAACGGAGTTGGACGGAGAGTGACCAAACATGAACGATTTCAGTAAACTGAAGTACCACCAATGGATTTAAATATTTCTAGTGACCAAACTTGAACGTTTTTAATAATCTCAGTGACCAACCATGCAATTAACCCTTTAGAAATTTAACACGTTAAATTACTTTGAATTAGTTCATACTGACGAGGGAATGACCCTATTGTCATTACCAAAACATTTAGAAATTTAACACGGATTGAAGGAAAATTGTGAAAAAGTGTAGTGAGAGAATGCTTGTGTCATGGCAAACTGCAGGGGAATTGATAAAGGTCGTCCTTAAAATTACTATTGATCGTCCTAAAAAATAACAAAGTTACACTTTTAACCTTTTGGCATTGTTAGCAAACAAACATCACTTTAACTAAAAAAATGAAAAACACTCAATTTCCCACACTCTCGAATTCATCGTTGACATTCTCGAGTCGTAATCGTTGAGAATACGTCCAAATCATGAGTAGCGACTCCAACGAGGTAAAAATCTGATTTTTTTTTTCAAAAAAAATTCCAAAACCCCTCAACCGAAGCCAATTTTCGGTTGTACCATGGCTCAACCTAAGGCAATTTTCGGTTGTACCATGGACCAACCGAAGCCAATTTTCGGTTGGTCCATGGTACAACCGAAAATTGCCTTAGGTTGAGCCATGGTACAACCGAAAATTAGCTTCGGTAGAGGGGTTTTGGGTTTTTTTGGATTTGTTTGGTTTATATCAATAATTTTCTATTCTTTTACTACGATTTATGATTCGGTTCATAAGATAATTTGTTGAATTTTGGTTTATATATTTTTTTAAATTTATGGAAGGGGAGGAGTTGTTTGTTTTGTGTTTGATTTTGAAATTCAAAATGGGCAATTTGGTAAATTACATATTAAGTTAGGACGATGGTTAGTAATTTTTAGGACGACCTTTAACCATTCAGAACTGCAGAGGCAAATGCCCCGCAAGTGGCCAGACCGAGAAAATTCCAAAATGCTGGTGTGTGCATTTTGTGAATTATTTTTAAAAAACAAGTGTATTTTGTGATTTTTTTTTATACGAACTATCATTCGAGCGTACAAAAGCGAAAGCCTTCCAAATGATAAACGCGTAGGGTGCACGCGAGTCAGTCAACACCAAGACCCCGCGCGCGCGCAGCAGCAGCTAAAAAATGGTGGTGGGGGCGGTCGCGGAGGCTGAAAGAGAGACGTCAGACGAGAGAGAAAGGAGAAGAAGCAGCCCCCCGAAGAAGAAGAAGAAGACGACGACGATTGATGTGTGCCCACAACTTGGCTTTTCTGATTAATACCATCCGCATCCAGTCCATGGCCTAATCCCGGGTTCGGTTTTACACCCGTTTCCATCCTCCACGTCACTTCCCTTCTCCCCCATTCCCTTCCTTCCCCTCTCGTTTGTTCAGCTACTCTCCCTCAGTCCCTCTCTCGAACAGGTAAAAATTCCCCATCTCATTTCATTTTTTTCAATTATTTAATCTAATATCCCGATTGAAATCTCAATTTGTCTGCTTTTCCAATCTGATCCGATTTGATCTCCTCTTTTGTTTCTTCTCTGAATCAGACACTGCTTCCGGATAAGAAACAGGTGAAGCTCTTTTTTTCCTTAACCTGGGTTTATCTCTTCCTTTCTGTGTCGTTTGTGGGATATGGTCAATACGTCAAGTTAGCGAATTGGTTATCTCTCTAATTGATATATATCGCGGGTTATGTTGGGGTTTTGGGGAATGGAAATGGGCGATTTCAGATCAGAAGTTTCGTGAGCTAGAACTGGGATTCTGTTGACTTTTTATCTTTTTGTATCGAAGGTAGTTGAGGGATTGGAGGAGGTAGGAAACTAGAGCTGGAAGAGGTAGGTAGGAAGAAAGTTTTGTTGTTTGTTTGTCTCTCGAGTTTTTGCCCATTTGTCAAGAACCGAATTTGGCTTGATTTCATTGTTGTTGTTGTTGGTTTGGGAACTGGGTATTAAAGGAAGTTTAAGTGGGTAAAAATAATGCTTCTGCAACTTGGAGTTGGTTGTGAAGAGGAAATTTCTGTTCCCACTTTCCCTTTTGTTTGTTTGTATTGATTGATTGATTTGGTTTTTGATCAATTAGTTTCACATCCGCACTCCCATTTTCTGCGCTACTGCTGAGTGGCAGCCACTTAGCTCCAGTTGACTGCAACCAGCATTCAAGTTCCCCTTTGATCTTTCCTCACTGGAGGCTTCTGAGTAGAGTGCTGCCCTATATAGTCACCCAACAGCATTATTCAAACAAGAAAAAGCTCAAGTTCTTAACATTGATCATATCCAAATCTCTTTCTCTTGCCCTCTCTAAGATGGAGGGAAATTCTAGCGGCGGAGGCAGCAGTGTTGGTGGAGGAGGGGTAGCAGCAGCAGCGGCAGTGGTGACACCAGGAGCTGCTGGTGTTGTAGGTGGAGGAGGGAATGATGTTGAGCTCATGTGCAAGACTCTTCAAGTTGAACACAAGCTATTCTATTTTGATCTCAAGGAGAACCCAAGAGGCCGGTACTTGAAGATATCTGAGAAGACATCATCCACCAGGTCTACTATCATTGTTCCTTCCTCTGGGATTTCCTGGTTCTTGGACCTCTTCAATTACTATGTCAATTCTGATGAGCATGACCTCTTCAGCAAGGAATTACAGTTGGACACTAAGGCAACTCTCCGCCATTCTACTTGTATCTCTGCGTCTCTCTTACTCGCCGTTCCCTTCCTGAATTCTCTTGCTCACGTGTTGCCATTTGTCTTGTATATTGCAGGTGTTTTATTTTGACATTGGGGAAAACAGAAGGGGACGTTTTCTCAAGGTATAACTTGGTGCTAATTCTCGCTTACATTCCTTATGTAAGGATTTTTCGTTCTCAAAAAATGTGTCGTGGTATCTATCAACATTATAAAAAAAAAAAAAGTGTCGTGGTATCCTGATGACATTTTTAGGGAGAACAGATGCTTTGGTCTTGTTCTTAAGCTTTTCATTTTTGGAAGACTCTATGCTTCGTCCGGAAGGACCTGTATTTTCCCCACCCTTTCTTGGTATTTTGTGAAGGTCCAGTTCAGGAAAACAGAAAGAGGAAAGACGTGGCAGTGCTATCTAGTGGCTTTTTCCTGATTTAGGCTGTTAAATATTTATAGACTGGAATATGCAAATATGTAAGCTGCCAAATGGTAGTCTGGCAGTACATAGAGGAAGAGTTAGTTGATTGGTTTATCCATACGAGTACACTCCTAAAGTGTGTGAATGTTTGGGATTGTTAACCAGAATCTTCATAGTTGATCACTCTTAATGTTCTGCAGGTCTCAGAAGCTTCTGTTAGTAGAAACCGCAGTACTATCATTGTTCCTGCTGGAACTTCTAGGGATGAAGGCTGGGCTTCTTTTAGGAACATCTTGGCAGATATTAATGAAGCTTCAAGGCTTTACATGCTGTCCAATCAGGTGACTGTTACATCTCTTTTCTGTCACTAACTAATACATGGAGAAGGTTCTAAGTTGGACAAATGTCACATGTTCGTCACCTGTGCGAATGTTATTACAAACAGCAAAATTCTGAATCCTCGGAGCGCCTAGTTGGACTTTCTGATGATGTAGGCGCTGGATTTATATCTGGGCACAGCACCCAACAGCCTGCTCCTCCAACTTCTGAGTTAAATGTAGACCGGGCAGTTGACCTGCCGACACAGGATGAGATTGGTAACCTGGGAGTGTCAAAGGTTATCCGAGTTGATCAGAAAAGATTCTTCTTCGATCTCGGGAGTAATAACAGAGGCCATTTCTTGAGGATCTCTGAGGTAATTTGGTTGAAGTAGTAGTTCAAACTTCGGGGCACATTAGTCATCTCTAACCTTGATATTATTGACATTGGAGCTGATGGTAAAAATATTTGTAGGTTGCTGGTTCTGATAGGTCCTCCATAATTCTTCCACTCTCTGGGCTGAAGCAGTTTCATGAGATAGTGGGTCATTTTGTGGAGATCACCAAAGATCGAATTGAAGGAATGGGGAGCGCCAACGTCCGAACTGTAGATCCACCTCAAAGATGAATGTGTTTCCATGTGATGGGTGTGTTTGTGAAAGGAGAATAAATGCTGAAGATGGCTTCTTTTGATGGCAAGGGAACATAATGTATTGGGATTCTTCTGGGATTGTGGTTGGTTCCTTTTGTTTTTTTGGTGTTGCAGGATGGATGTAAATCCATTGGCTCCTGCTACTGGTTCTTGCTGTCAAATAGGGTAAAATCTGATGATTTTTTTTTACTTGGGTTCTGAATTTTACTTTTGGTCACAGCTTGTGAAAACAATAAAGGGTGAATTCCAATTGCAAATATTCCTGCATTTTGCTTTTGCAACTTTCCCCTGCTGTTTCAGAAGCTATTTATCTATCAAAGATAACCGAGTAGAAAACGATTTCATGTCAGCACCCTCAGATAGCCAGACATTAGCATAGAGCTCAATTTGAAATCTAGATTTAGTGATTTACAGTACTAGAGTGTTTTAGAATCAATGAAAGATGAAATCTTTGCAAGTACTGAACATTGAACAGACAACAAAATATTGCAGAATGATATTTCACTTCTTGAAATCATATTAATAACCATCAAGTTCCCCAAACCCCAATTCATACCAAGAATCGAATAATATTTCACTAGACATGAAAATATCTCTTAACAACATGCTTCCCGGCGACAGCAGCAGCGGCCGCGACCCCTCCGATAGCGCCAGCAATCGCCGCCGATCTGGGGCCTCTGGCTGCTCGATAAATTGCCCCAGTGCCGAGCCCAGCAACCACGGTGTTAGCCAAATCATCCACATCCCTCAACGCAATCAAGCCGCTCTCGATCCCGGTAAACATCAGACCCAAGACTCCCATAGTGTTGCCCAACCGCCGACCACTCTGCCCGCCGGAGTTCAAAACCCTGTTCAGCCGCAGCTTCATGCTCTCGCCGGCCTCGGCCGCCCTGATCCCATCGAGCGTCCCCTTGGCACCGCCGGCGATCGCACCGCCGAGGTACCCCGCGCCGGTGTAGTAGGTGAGATTCTCGCTCCAGGTCCTGCGCTGGCGTGCGGCTTCTTCCTGGAAGAGGAACTCCGGCGACGTGGGCAGATTGTAGAGGCTCTGAGAAGGGACGCTGTAGAAATTCTGGTAGGGGTGGTACTTTTGGAACCTCTGATCACCTGAATCGTCCATCAAAGGGTTTTTGGCTGTGGAAATTTTTTGGGGAAGGGGCTAGCTAGAGAAAGAGGACAAGGGAGGTTTAGGGTTTAAGGAGAAACGGAGAGGGCGGAGGTTTCTCGAGTTTGTACAACTCGGCTGGCTTCTTTTTCAAGCAGGTTTGGTGACGTGGAATTAATTTTTTTTATGGAGTGACATGGATTTTTTTTTTTTGTGTAGTGTCAGACAAAACAATTATTTTCCTCTCCTACAATAATTCGTACTTGAAATGGGCCAGAGAAAGTTATGGGTATTTATCTCAAAGCCTACATGATTTTGGGCTTATGCGATTTTCCGAAATCTCAATGAAGGCCCAATTTTATCCAAACTAATTTGTCCACAGCGAAGCCCACATCCACGGCGGCGGCGGTGCTGCTGCTACCAGTCCTCTTTGAGTCTTGCCGGCCATTGCCAAGTTTCTTCTCCAAATTCGCCGTTAAATGAAATCCCGCGGTTAAAGTGCAAGAGCGAAAGTTGTTCCGGACGAAATGAAGCGACCGACGAGCCCTGATCTGGTCGCTCTTGAATACACCGACCTTAATCTCCTCCAGTGGTATCAAATCATCGCTCTTTTGCTTCCCTCTCGTTCAATTTTCAAAAGCAGCAGCGAAAAGTTAGTAACATAACATCGAATCTTTTTTCAATTTGCAAGAGGTGAGTCATGAAAGAATCCGGCGACATTACACGTTGCAAATTACAACTCGATACGTTGACCCGACTCGAACCTGCCCGAAAAATTGAAATTTTTATAACCCGAAATTCGAATGACCCGAATCCGATAATCCGTGATTTTTTGGGTCGGGTTGGGTGGGTTAGCAGGTCGACCCGTTGCATTTCATATGTAACTCACAAAATGCTAAAATCACTTATAAATTGGTGAGATGTTTAAAAAATTTCACATGGATATGAAAGACATGTTTGTAATTTAAGGATAATCAAATATCGAGTGTTTCTTGTAGTAGTATTACTCTTGTGATTATTTTTTGATGATTTGTGCAATTAGTATTTCATTTCATTAGCATGGAAAGATTTGAGAATATGTTAATTGACATGTGTTAGGTAAACTATTGTCATGCATATGTAAAAATTTGTGTTCTTTAAAAAAATTTGAATCATGAGAGATACTGTTTCTGAGAGTGCTCATAACCCGAAACGACCCGAAACCGAATGGGTTGGTCAATTTTTAACCCGAAATAAGCCAACATGACCCGACCCGTAATCTAAAACTGCAACTCAAAATTACCCAACCCGACCCGATTGCCAGGTCTCGGCAACATGTAAACCCTTTGAGCTCATCTTTCTCTCTAAGGGGTCGTTTGCTTCAAGGATTTTATAACGAGGATTTTGTCATGGATTTGCTAATTAAAAACCTTGGGATTTATTAGAGATTTTGGGCATTATGGATTTGAGAAAATCCTTTGTTTGTTGAGCTATTTTTATCATGGATTTGATGGTTTTTCAGTTTGTCTCCAAATCTCAGGGTATGAGGTGAGATTTATAAAACTGTGGGGCCCATGGATTTGGAGAAAAAAAAACCCAAATCCGTGGGGCCCACAGATTTATCTAAACATTTTTTGATAAAGCAAACAACGGATTGTGTGTAAATCCATGATGGTTGGTTTTTTTGTACCAAATCCATGATGCAAATCCTTGAAGCAAACGACCCCTAAGTTCGTTTCATTTTAGACAAAATATGCTAGGCGCCAACTCCCGCGCCTGACTTTAAGGAAGTTTTGCTCGATCGATAGCATGATATTTTACTATCCAACCCAATTAAAGTGGCTCTCAGACATTTCAGATTTACAAACGTTGTTGTGTCTTTTAGACACTTGTTTGTTCTTATTCTGGGCCTTTAACACCAGTTTCAATCTTGGTAAGCATTACTTCTTGCTCCACCATGGTATTGTCTGGTGGGGCAAAATTCAAAGGTTTATCTATAAAGTTACACGTGAAGTGTCCAAATCCTCATTTCAAGAAGAGGCATCACAAGAGATGAGTTGTGCAACAGCCATTAGTCCTTGATAGTTTAGTCCCTCGGGTGTTAATAAATGGAATGTGATACACAATTGAACTTGTCCCAACAATTTGAGTTATTGGTATCAACTGATTCTTGACATGATATCAGAGCCTTCTGTCACCGAAAGGTCTCCTATTCGAATCCCGATGCCCCTATCTATTTATGTTAAGCACATAGTGTCTGAACCTGTGCCTGTGCACACTCCAAGCATACCTGAGTGGCTTGAGTTTGAGGGGATGTGTTAATAAATGATTATATGATTCACAATTGAACTTCTCCCAACGACTCGAGTTATTGGGATCAACTGGTTCGTAACAAAGTGAATATGCATAGTAGGACGGATGTTCAATATAGTCGTTTGTTTCCGGTGGTTTTCCCCGTAACTCACCGTTCAAAGAGTTTGCTTGCAATTCCCAAAGTGACGTAAAGTGACAAAAATTACTAACTATGGAAACAAACTAATCCCAGCAAAATGCATCTTTTACCAAGCTCAGTCGAGTGTTCAGCTCAATCTACTCTCAGATTAGAATTGCAATCAATACTTGGTGAGCACATGGTTCTCTAAGATCAGGTTTCAAAATTTAAACTCAGATGGAAGAGTTTGATGTATTTTATTATTGGATAATATTCATGTCTCGTGTTAGTTCTTGTCCTGCTAAGGTGTCCACCACGATAAGGGAAACTAATTTCATGTACTAGTTTGTTGACTTTTCTTGGACAAGAAATTGTTGGACCACAGGTACGGACGAAAGCTACACAAAGATTGAAGCCCACCTGTGCCCTGTATTAATTGTTTGGACGAACTGGACACCCCACGACCCAACTGGATTGGATCCTCTAGCATGTAGTTTTGACCAGCCTGGTTCTCTTGCTTGATCAAAAACTTGGATTCTTAGGATTTCCCTCATCGAGTACCATAAAAGGTATGAAAGATATCGAAGTTCTGTTCAAAAAAACCTCGCCCTAGAACTTGTATGGATTATGGATCAGATTATGGCGAGATTTCCAAATTGTTGGGTGTTGTTGATCCGAGAAAATAATCGATCTTGTTTTCACAAACCGACGAGGATCCGACTCATTTAGGAAGATGGGTTGCGTTGCTAAGTCATCTCAAATATGATTATTTATGTATTTGTACTTTTTTATATGAACTTGCACTAATTGTAGACTTGCTCAAAATGGAATTTTCCCGGCTGGAGGAGTCCTTAGGCGATTCGATGAGGCTTGCGAGAAGGGACCGCGGTGGGGGAAATTGGTTTTGCCGGTTTTCTCCAAATGAGATGCTTTTGTTTGATCTTGTGAAATATTACTCAGGTATTACCAACCCATTTATGATGGAAATTTTGGTGTGAAGAGATGCGCTCGATTGGTGTCTAATGCATGTTTCCTAATTAATGCCCATGGATCAAGGGGGAGCGATAATGAAAAAGTCTGAGTGGTAGCTTCGGCGTTTTTCAATTTTTCTTGTACTTTTACTCCTTGCATCATGTACAATAGGGCTACTCATTTAGTAGCTCAGAAGGCCCTTCGTAGAGTGAAAGTAGGAATGACATTTCTGTCTTTACAATAAAATATTTATTTCATATGAAAAATATCAATATCAGGATTTGAACCGAGTTCTCTTCAAACACAGACAACAATCATAACCAATTATACCTAAATGAATTTGATGTATCTTTTTGAATACATAACATACACAATGTTGAACTCCGGAAAGCGGAGGACTTTTCCATCATGATTAACAAGCTCACTAAGACTATTGTATGTATTTTTATGGTGCTTAATACTTCAATTTCCATAGTAGAGTTTCATGTAATTTTATCCATTTTACAATTCATTCTCTCTCCTTAATTTTCGCTAAGGTAAATTGGTAATTGGCTAACATGGAAGAAACTATTTCTTTTACTACGTGTTGTCATTTGGTAGCAAGTAAAGTTCAACTGCAGCAGGTGAAGGCAGAGAAAAGGGAGTTGGTGAGGGTAGTGATCAAATTGAGGAGGGTATTGAAAGACATTGAAGCAAAACTTGAGCAGTTGAAGAGAGAGAAGTGAGAGATGATGAGGATATTAATGAAAATGGAGAAGCTATTGAAGGGCATGGAAGTGGACTGAAGCAGGTGAAGGAAAACAAGGGGGAGATGAGCATATTGATGTAATCGGAGATGAGTGTTGGTTTTAGCGAGCTTATTACAACTGCCCCTGAGTAAGATGAGTTGGCAAAACACAAGAA